TCAAATAAATAGCTAGTTATTTCCCTTGGAAACTGTCTAAATAATATTGAAAATTATTGTTACATACTTATCTGCCTTGGTAAACTAAAAATAAATAAATAAATAAAACAATAAACCATATACCAATAAATATGTACAATACAGTTCGACTAATTGTATACACACATTTAAAATTAATTAAAATAGAAAATATGTAATCGTGTAAGATACGTGTGTGTTATGCTAGAAGCGGGTCAGATGTCGCTAAAAATAAAGTTGTGTGTGAGTTCAATATGGCAGACATTATGTTGATTTAATCATTCAGCAAGCTATTGAAGCTGTAATTTATAGTAGATACCACAATGGTCGGAGTAGTCGAGTGACTGAATGCAGCATTTCACCTCTCGGCCTTTTGACTAAAATCAAAATGAAATGTTTGTTATTGGTTTTGTACGGAGGTCTTACCTATGGCCTCAGTTTTTTCTAACCTTAGGCAGGTACCCGTCTGAGCTGGGTGGACTAATGAACGTCTTACAGATTCGACTCAGGGACCTGAACTTTAAGATGATAGAGTGGGATATAAAGGTCTAAATACATATACTAGTTATACATATAGCATGTGTTACTTACGGAAATGTTAGGTGTATGGAAAGCCATCATTTTGGTTTATTCTATCTTTTCTTCCTATGATTTACAAGTCTTCGTAAACATATTTCAAAGCTTCAGCTAAGCTTTCATTTCTCTCTTTGTACTACTAATATTTAATTATGTAACTTTTTAAGCCATATAATTTAGTCATACGTTGTGTACAGGTGCATTATCATGTGCAACTAGTTTTGACAGTAATTTTAGATGAACTATTGTGATTTATATTTTGAGTATATCTTAGTGTTAATATTTAATAAAATGCCTATGTTGTAATTAGTAGGGGAAGGAAATAATGCTTTCTCGAACTACGCGGTATTTCTATTGTTGCGTCCCTTTAACCGTTTATTTAAAAATGATAGTGGAATTGTTTTAGCATACATGTGTGTTTATTTCACTCAATCTTTCAAACGTATATTTGAAGAAAAAAAACATGCTTGATAATAAAGGTACTGCACTTTAAACGTTATGTCTAGTCTAGTGATTTGAAAATAACATTAAAAAAATAAAATAGAACAACACACACGACATAGGAAAGCCACGTATAAAGCGAACAACAGACCCACAATACATAGTCAGCAAATAGTAACCACGTATCTTTAGACATCTATAAATAGAACACTGTACGCATGACATAGGCGGCTAACAAAAAAAAAAAGTTTGAACTAATTTAAGTTCTATCCATTAAGCTAGTCATAAACACATTAACATGTTTTATACAAAAAACAAATGTGATTGGTAACATTTAAATAATATTTCTGTGCTCTGATTTCATTGCATAGAGTTTGTCGATGGTCGATGTTACGACACTTTAAGCAATAATATGTTAAAAATGACTAACACTGGATTAACTTTGAAAATGTTTTTTTTTTTAGTGTTAAGGCCTCATTTATTTTTATTTACACGAAGTTATAACCCTATGTTTCACTTTCGAAGGGCAAACATTGATTGGCTGTACAGAAACACAGTGATTGATATTTATTTGTTTACAAAGTTTTGCAGATAAAGTTTTTAAATATAAATGTGATTGTAAACCTCATGCCCTATTTCTGCCATTTTGTTTTTGCATTTTGTTTTATAAAATGTATGCTAGCCTATCGAATACAGAGTGTTTATGTCGCCAACTCAACGTGCAAAACAAATTGCGTGAAGTTTTTTTTTTTTTTTTTAATTGTGTTTAATTACCAAAAAATACGTCAAATACATTCACACTTTTAAAACTCCATGAATAAAGCGTATCTTGTGTATTGTATTCCGTAATAAATTAATCAATTACCCTAACCAAAAGAACATATCAGTGTGTACAGCTTGGTTGATGCAGATAGTTGCAAGTTTGATATGTTGTGATGACTGCGTTTATATCGTCTCCTGTAATGTAATTAACAAAGGTGTAGTTAAATAAACAACTAAACATTATAATACAAATGGACAATTGCGTCCAATATGACTCAAAGTATGTGTAGATCAGAACACTGACACAGGTATACGGAATAAATCATCAGTTACTACAGGTGTTTAACGATGTTTGATTTGGTTACATAGGGTTATGTTTTATTATAAATAACTATATTGTACATTAAAATTATGCAGTGAATGTAATATGTACAGTTAAAGCCTTCACAACAAACAAAAAACACACACAAACAATTTCACACGAACTTGCCCACGTACTTTCCCACACAGATATAAAGTAATTACTACATGGATATTTGAAATGTATGTATATACGTGAGCTATCATGAGTGTTTTGTGTGTGTGTATGTTACTATGTTTACATGTGTACCTGACATGGATTTTAAAAGATAAAATAAAAAATGAAACTCGTACACACACAATCCTTGCACTATAATCAGATGCGTAGCGAGTGCTGGGCGGGGGTGCGAACCGCACCGGGTGACACCGTTTTCGGGGGGGGGGGGGGGTGACACCAAGCCAAAATTTGCAAAATGAACAGAAGAAAACCGTTTTTTTTTTTTTTTGTTAGATCCAACAATAATTAATTTAAGTTAAATAGTCTTTTAAGTGCAAATCGACAATTATTTCAAGAAGGTGGGGGGGGGGGGGCATTATGACGTAAACGTGATAACTATAAAGACTGTATTATTAACAGACTATAGATAAACATCCTTACTACTAAGTCTGCAGTGATTAAAGCTTATACACATACATGTACCCGTATATATTATATGTTTATGTAGGCCGAAACACACACACACACTCACACACACACACACACACATATATATATATATATATATATATATAAATATATATATATATATATATATATACATATATATATATATATATATATATATATATATATATATATATATATATATATATATATACATATATATATATATATATATATATATATATATATATATATATATATATATATATATATATATATATATATATATATATATATATATATATATATATATATATATATATATTTATATATATATATATATATATATATATATATATACAAACTTTGTTTTCTTTGGGGGGGGGTGGTGACACTACGAAGTGTCGCACCAGGTTACACCCATTCTAGCACCCCACTGTCTATAATTAGATCCGGCCGTCTTATTTAGGGTTTAAAGTCCGTTTTTATACACGTTTTCAAATCGCAATCATTGTTTTCTTAAATGTTTAAGTTGCTTGATTTTTGTATAGAACTGCATTTCTTCTTTGTTTTAAATTGTATTTGATTGTTATAGATTGTACTGTTGGACTGTTTTTTTAGATCGCTTCTCGCACTTTTGACTTTGATTGAAGTGACCTGTCCAGATAAATATATAAATTTAACTACGATAACACCATTCGAGTCTCAAAAGACCTTAGTTAGCACTAGATTTTGGCATTTAGCCAACATAGTAATGTCGTATGTAAGTATAATCAACACCAAGAACAATCGAGTTGCGCCCATTCATGATTTATCTACGGCGAAAGCTGTTTGGAGGAGCCTCTATGATAACGGTTTACGTTGTTTAATGAATTCAAGGGCCCCACACTTTTCAGATACAGCCAAGTCACCAACAATCTCAATTGAAATATTAGATGAAGATGGACCATCATCAAGACCAACGGCCACCACATTATTTATGGCCACATAATCCACAGTCTAATCAGCCCGCACCAGATCCTGCGACCCACACCTTCATTGTAGCAGATCTAAACAACACTAAAACACAACATGGACCCAACACACTTGAGCTATCCATGTACAAGAAAGATACTGTATGTGGCACTGTGATGACGAAATAGTGTAAAGTTGGTCACAGATAAGCGATAGGTAGCGTAGGTCAACTAGGCATTGGTCAAGCAGAACCAATATAATGCAGTGACGAACTGACCATATACGTGAGATAATCAGCTGACCACAGCGTCAGTTGCGAGTTGGATGTAGATATCGTTTGGAGATGGTTATTGGAGATTTTAGGGGAACATCGAGTATTAGTGAGCAGTAGCGGTGTTGTTTTTTTGTATGTGAAGAAACATTTTGCAATCAGACTAGAGACCGAATATTATTAGGAGCTAGTGGAGATGGTATAAGTTCTGTATAGTAGGGTAAGAGACAATATAAGATTAACTTGGTGTAAATAAAGTAACAATATAACATATTTTAAAATGGACATGTGTTTGATTTTAAACAATGTGCCAGGCTATATGTAATTAAACAATAGGTCTACATTGTATATATCATATTGCTCATACCATTCCTTATGTACTAATGATTTGTGCATCACAAGTAACAAGTAATAACTTGGTTATTACATTCATGCCAGGAACCCATCAATTTTAGGAGAACTAAACACAATCAACACATCATAGAAAACGTCCGACTATCTTCATTAACTCATCTTCAGGCAATAATGTTATATGTATTATTTTAAGATTGGGTGCTCTTAAATAAAAATATATTATTTTGATTTGGCATTTTAAACGTGCATTTCACAATTACTTCCCATATTAATTTTCCCTACAATATACGGGAGACAACTCAAAGACACAAAAACCAACTTATAGATAAATAACCAGTTAAAATGAGAAAAACTATAGATTCATTCGTTAAACGATAAATTAACATTAATTAGTGTGTTTTAATGGGAATAAACATGTTTTGTTGACATTGAACTAGGAACAAATGTTTTTGATACATTTAAAAAACAAATAACTTGTTCTTATTTCATGTAGAGTTCAAAAATATGTAATTAAAACATTTTAACTACAGTCAACTATGTGCACTCGTTGTTGGCTAAATGTTTTTTTTTTAACCAGCTAATCTGTATCTGATAATCTCGTTCTTTGGAAGGAACAACAGCTTGTCTGTCGTCGTCCGCTGAAAACCACACAATTTTACAATGACGTGAACAAAGGATGATGTTGCTGTTGAGTCAGAAACAAAAGAGATCACAGAGCCAATTGTAGCAAAGACAGTTGAAGATGTGAAAGGCAAAGCTAATGAGGCTGATGCTGAAGCAGAAGAAGAAACAGAAGAAAACACAAAAACAGAAGATTCAGAAGAAAATACAAATGAAAATGCTAGCTCAGAAGAGACAGAATCAAAAACAGAAGAAACAACAGCAGAAAAGCGATTTTTAGCTGAAAGTGAAGATGCAGAAGATGAAAGTCCGAAGAAAAAGGCAAAGACAGACTCAAATGAATCATCGAATAGCACCACATAAACAACTGAATCTGCTTAGTTCTATTATATATATTTTTTTTTCCTTTTCATTTTGAACTTAATCACAAACTTGTTAAAATGTGTTTATCATCACGTTCTGGAGAAAACTGAAATATTTATAGTCAGGTTGTACACTTCATCATGGTTCTCATCATTTGTACTGTTACATCTTAATGTATTTACTTCAAAAAAATAAATAAATAATATGTATCTGCTTTAAAATATGAACGATAGAGGGAGGGGGGGGGTGCAAATCGAAATTTGAAAGTTTGTCGCTACGCCTCCGGGGGTTGACACCATTAAGTGGCGCACCGGGTAAAACCCGACCTCGCTACGTAACTGATTATAAATTGTGTTCGAAGTTAAAAATACATATTGTGACGACATGCTTCTATTTTTGATAATTACATTATTTCAGTAATAACAAAACAAAAATCGCCCACACATTTCATTAATTGTTTTAAAAATAACTAAAATGTTTTGGAATAGATTAAAACAACATACTTATATCGCTAATTATATTTGTTAATGGTTTCTTATGTTATTCATTAGAATAAGATGTAAGTTGTCTGTCCTATTGAAATTGATAATATAAAGGGTAATAATTGTTAAACACTATTTACAATAAATCGATATTCTTCAAACACTGTCTCTAAAGTTAAAATACAGTTAAAGTTTTACAAAAATATAACAGTTTTATTCTGGCTAAAACAAGATGTGTGTTTGTCGTGTACGTGGGGGGGGGGGGGGGGGCGAGGCCAATACACCGATATGTGTAATGTCGATATAGCTTACAAAAAAAACAATATATCACATTATATGTGTGTTGTGTTATTGTTATAGAAATTTAAAGAAGACTAAATCACAGTGAGTTTTCAAGTTGCCATGCTTAGGACATGTAACCTTTAAAATCTAAATGTGAAATTAAACTCGTTATAAAAGCAACGGGCGACTTACATTAACCACACATTATTTGCAAATGTGGAGTTCGCATCTAAAGCATGAGTGGTGTACATAATTAATTACAAATTAATTAAGTAATAGTGTGAAACATTGTAATGTGACGTCGTGTATGGAGAATATGTGATACAACTTGTAAGATAAATAGAAACACAGATCAGGAACACGAAAAAGCCTTACGACTCTATTACATTATTATTGTTAATACATTAATGCACCGTTCATGTACCGGACACTTGTATTCTTTTAATAGAAAAAAAATAAAATAATATATCCCTTTATAAATGTGATTGTAATGTACACAGTACATATTAAATAGATGAAAGTTTTTGATAGTTTTATACAAGTCTTAGATGTGTGAGGATTGGCTATAATTGGTGAGTTTACGGGTGGGGATGAGGGTAAAGGAGGGTGTAGATATAGACCTTTAAATAGTAACGCAAAACAATACACATCACCAAAAAAAAAAAGGATGGCAATGTACATTATTATTGGTAATCTGGGGAAAGTGTTCTGTTCTCAATATGTAATTTCTTTTAAAAGAATAGATAGGGATATTACACCACACAAGTCAATTTCGAGAGAGTAGGTTGAACGATATCCTCGCTTATCTTTCAAATGAGTAAAAATTAATGCTGGTGTGTTTACTTTTGCAATTATAATACAATTTTAAACACAAAACAAAGGCACATCTACTATTTTTTGTAATTTATTTGAAACTTTTAATTATATAAATATACGTCTAATATTTAAAATAAATTAGTAAGTCTCTTTGTTTTGTTTTTTTTTATTTACAATTCGTTTACCAAATGGTGTATTTAATAGGTAATTACTTCCCTTGCACAATATCCAAACAAAAGAAAAAATATTGGTAAATATCAGCATCGGAAAAATAAAACAAATAAATAAATAAATAAATAAATATGGGTGACATTGTATCGAATCATATGGATACATTTAACATAAACTAATATATAAGCTATGTAACAATGTAGATACATATGCGTTACTAAAAGTGATGGTCAAATGTAGCTCAATTCAAAGTTGTGCGTGTGTTAAATATGGCAGGTATTATGTTGATACACTCATGAATCAAGTTATTGAAACTGTCATTTAAATTAGTGGTCGGAGTAGTCGAGTTACTTATTGCACCGATTCTCTTCTCGACATTTTCACTAAGATCAAAGTGTACTATCTGCTATGGGTTATGTACGGAGTCAGGTAACCCCACTGACCTAAGTGGACTAATTGCCCCGTTCATTTTTGGGACAAAAATGTATCATACTTAAATCATCGGTTATTTTGAACGCCAAATAATATTAGTAAAGTAGATCATAACTAATTACGTATATAACATCTTATTATAAAATATATCCAATCAACAACATATTGCTACTAAAGAAACGACAACACCAAACACAAATTAAACGATACTATGTACACGTGTTTGTATTTAGTTTAAAATGTGAATTATATTATATTTTTTTGATCATTGTCACGTAGTTAGGTACATTGATACTGCTCTAGTTGTGATTGCTATTGTATAAGGTTGGCACAGAAAATAACGTACGCGTTATCTGCTCTGTGATATTACGGTACAGTAAACTGTAATTACTTGTTTAATAATTATGTATATTGTTTTAAATAAACTCATGTCTGAACTCATGTGTATGTAACAGTATAATACACATTTAAAATACCAAAATTAAACAGCTGGTGGGTTACCAGCATTGATGTATTTCTTCAAAAATAAATTTAACATTTAACATTTTTTTTTGAATAACAAATATGTCTTTGGTTATGCCAAAAATATGATCTTGATGCTTTGACAATAAGTTGCTTATAGAAACGGTTTATCCTGCTACAGGTGATTTGAACACATGGGCTTTGACTATAAGTTGTTTGTAGGTAACGTTTTTTTTTTTACCACATTGTCTTTGCTAAGATGTGGTTTGTCCACACATGTGTTTTATACATATAGGATATTTGAATACACATGTTTTACTCATATGCATTAATTCCACATATATTTAAATAATTTAAAACATATAATTGGAGAGTTACAATTTATGGCACTTAAATTAAAATATCCTTTGCCGATTAGGTTCGATTCTTTTTTCTCTAAAAAAAGCACATGAGCCAACACACACAAACACGAATAGATGATTCATATCGTTATCTCCATAAATCAGTTAAAATAAGCAAAACATTCATAATTACTCAAGTTGTATTGGTAACACTAATACATTTTCAAAATGTCTAACCTAATTAGTTGTTTGTTCATATCGATTTAAACCATTAATAAAATTTAAAAAAAAAAACGAATAAAGTAAGGTTATCTTAAGTTACTTTTAATGACACCCGAAGTATTTTGTATATCTAAGTTCCTATGGACATACAAAATGGCTTTTTTTTACACATTCTACAGTGAGTGACCCTTAATATGATTGTGGTGACCCGTGGGCCACTGCTTGTGACCCGAGATCTATTGCTGGTGACCCGTGTGATCTACTGTGAGTGAATATTTCAATGTGATAACTGATCTAAGTTGTCTCAATCAAACAGGAAACCACACGAGGGGAAGCAATGAATTTATCCATTTCAATTTCCTTACTGAATTTTTTCTAAGGTAGATATTTGTAAAATACGATTTGATGTAAGGTGGTTATCTTGAGTATGTCGTGTGATTGATTACATGGCAAATGTGCAATTAAAGTCAAACGTTATAAAAATTAGAAGATCAGTGTTTACGTAACGACAACTCACGTTTCATAACTAATTATTTTATTTTAATACTATATTTATTTTTTTATATTTTTTAATGTTTCCAAAAGTAAATATGTAACAGCATACACATTAATGTTTTTTTTCTTCGTAAATCTTAATTAAGCTCGATTTTCTTGACTATGCAAAATAAATGTTAAAACTCATTTTCTAGTTTTTACTGCAAAAACGTGTGTTTTCTTTTTTTCTCCATCGCCACCAAAACCCCTTCTTCTAACCCCTCCCCTCTCCAGATGTGTTGTTATGTATAGAGGATCTCTTTTATAGCTGGTACTCTGTTGTAAGCGAATAATGATATGCATACAGTTCAACACATTATGAGTTCTACTGATAATAGTGAAGCAATATAATACACATTACCATGGTAAATGATAGCAATGTACAGATCTCTTGCTTTGTGTTTGTTCTAAATTCAAAAGTAAAATAAATATGGATTTATCTTAGAAATGAATGGGGAAAATACAATAAGCAATGTGAAAGTGTCTCTAACAATGAACAAATGATATCTTCGCTTGTCTTTCAAAATAGTAAAAAACGTAGCTACTGTGTTTATGTTTGCAATAACAGTAATACTTCAACAAAAATCAATGAAGCATCTACAATTTTAAATTTTGTTTAAATTAAGTGAATTATTTTAATATGTAATATTTCAAAAATGTATTGGTATGACTAATTTTTTAAAAATATGTTTTATTTCTTTAATAAAATAGTCACTCTGTTACATTAAATAGGTAATTAATTCCCTTGCACAATATCCACAGAAGAAAAACAAATGATTGGTAAATAATGTTCTGCTTTGGAAAAAAAAAAGTATGGGCAACATTTTAACGAATCTAATGGATACATTTAAATTAACTAAAATAGAAAATATGTAACCATATAAGATACTTAGGCGTCACTTTTGGAGCGGGTTAAATGTAGCTCAATTGCACCGAATCTCTTCTCTGTATTTTGAATAAGATCAAAGTGTACGATCTGTTAAGGATTATGTACAGAGGTCTTAGTTGTAGCTTCAGTTTTTTCTAATGTTAATCAGGTTCCCATCTGAGCTGGTTGGAAATAAGGACGTACTACAGACTCGAATCGGGGATCCGAACAATGGCTAGATATACAGGTCTACATATGTCTACATTCTTTGTTGTGTTATGTTATTACTAACTACAATGGTAGTTGTATCGAAAGCAGCAAATCGTTCTATTCTCACTTTTCGTCCAATCATGCCCAGTTCTTCGTACACATATTTCAAGTCTTCAGCCAAGATGAATGGCTAGTTTG